CGTCCGAGCTAGGCGTGCAGGCGTGCGGATCGTCGAGGGTATAATCCCTTCTTGGATGCCTCATATTTAAGGACAACCGACTTTGCTGTCTTGAGAAGTTCTCTACGTGTAAACCAGCGATCCTCAGTGTGAGGCTGGTACGTGAACTTCACAAGATACTGCACATCTGAGCCAGTACCCATCTCATCCGCAATCTTTTCGACTTCATATTCCTTCCAAGGGATCGGTGGACAAATTGAGGGGGTCTGTCTGAGAATGCATCAGCTGAGGTGAAGGGCAACAACTTAGATGCATGGAAGACTGGGTAGGTCTGTAGATATAGGGGAACATCAATAGCATAGGATAGTCCAAAAGGATCAGCCCCCACTGTATTTAAAACCTGCCATGGACCCATGTGTCGTGGCAACAGCTTAGGTGATATGTCCTCCTCCCAGGATCACCTGTGTGAATAGTAGATTGGCGGTGGTGTCGATTAGCGTGCTGAATCATAGCTTTTTGTGCTTTGAGCAGGTTGGCACGGGTGCGCTCAATGTCCACACGATATCGCCTGGTGAACTTTGCAGTTTGAGGTGTCAAGGCAGGAGCGCTCAAAACTCAAAGCTCAAAGCTCAAAGCACCCTACCGGTTGGCACACGTATGCTCACAAGGCACGGGTGCGCTCAATGTCCACACGATATCGCCTGGTGAACTTTGCAGTTTGACCGGCTGACGTGGTTCACGGCCTGGTGAACTTTGCAGTCGCCGGCTAATGTCCACATGATATCATCGATGATATCATCGACAGGCTGACGTGGTTCACAGCCCCAGTGTAACCGGTAGGGTGTGAAACCAGTGGAGGGGTGTACAAAAGTGTTATACACAAGTTGTGCACGACCCAGGTGGAGATCCCAGTCCTACTGATCTAGACTGATCACAGGACGCAGCAGCTAGAACAGAATCTGGTTCATGGCTTCAGCCTGTCCATTGGCTTCACGATGACGACCAGATGTCATGTCTAAACGGGAATGATGGTAGTCCTTGCAGTAGGACTACCACTCATGGCTGCAAAAACGGGGATCTCGATCACTGACAACAGAGGTGGGTGGTCCGTGATGAGCAACCCACCTATCAGCAAATGCCCGCCTGGACGGTAGGGACTCTGCCTTCTCCTGGCAAAGGGATGAACCTTGCATATTTGGAGAACCTGTCCACACAGACCATAACCTGACGCATACCACGAGGAGTGGTCCTACCCAAATCAGTAAAGTCGATAGACACTGATTGTGCAGGTGCCTCATGGATGGAAAGTGGTTTGAGTAGGCCAAGAGGAGGTCTACGTATGACCTTATTCCTTTGGCACAACTCACAGGTGTCAACATACTGCAGCATGTCACTCCTCCTCTGTTTCCAGAAGAACCTCTGCGAGAAGGCCGCATATGATTTGAGTGCGCCGAAATGACGACGAGCATCATGACACTCTGACATCAGTAGTGTTCTCAACTTGCTGTCTTGAGGAATACACAGACGTTCCTCACCTCGACTGCATGTATACAGTAGACCTGAAACTTGAGTGTAATGTGGTTCAGAGGCAGGATCATCTTGTAGGTTCCTCACAGTGGGCCCAAAAATCGGGTCATGGGGCAGCAGTTGGGCAATGGTCTGACGAGTCTGCTCTGCAAAAGAGTGAGTGAAGGAGATCAAGAAGAGGGCGCCAGGCCTACGAGAAAGGGTGTCTGCTACTTTGTTGTAGCAACCCTTCTTGTGCTTCAGTTCAAATTCAAACAGATCAATGAACAGAGCCCTTTGGGACATCCCTGAATTCTGGATCGATATAGAGAAGATTACCGTGGCCCCTGTGACACGCATAAATCGAGAAATGGTCCATAATGGGGAAAAAAAAATAATAATAATAATGAATTTTAACGAAATTGGGCTTCCAAAAAAAAAACAATATTCGCGTATTATTCAGACCATACTTGTGGCGCATCGCGTGTGTGCCAACCGGGCACACACGGGGCATTGCACATTGTGCACGTGGCGCGTGCAAGCGATGTGCCACAAGGGCGAAAATAGGCGTCCCTCCCCCCCCAAAAAAAAGTGGGCGGGGGCCTGAACTGAAAAATAGGGCTGTCCTTCGGGACATCCGTTAAAATTGGAACGATACAGAGAAGATTAGCATGGCCCCTGCGCAAGGATGACACGCATAAATCGAGAAATGGTCCAAATTAAAAAAAAAAAAAAAGGGCTCCCTTCCTTCCCAAAAAAAAGTAGGCGGTGGCCCTCACCACAGATTTGCAGGGCCGTGCAACAGCTAAAGAACTAAAAAAGAAAGTTCATGAGGGCAGGTTCTGCAAAAGAAGAATCCATCTAGTGATTCTAGTGAAAGAGTTTGAAGATGCACCAGTAATATTGCTGTCTTTCCAAGTCGGGTGTAGTCATGATGAGGGAACGTTGGTGCCAGAATCTGTGGTGTGGGCGGGTTGTACCTCCACCAGTATATGTCAGATCTGGGCCTCACTCCGTCACTCACTCAGCGAATATGCAAAATGAATGACGCCCACATACAATACAAATCAGTGCTAAAAACCCGGTAGGACCGGGGGGTCCTCCCCCAACCGGAACCGTAAGGGTCCTACCGGCCGGTCGACTGGGCCGGTTCCCCCCTGGTTGGCTGTAGTGCATCTTTTTTTTTTTTTTTTTTTTTTTTTTTTTTTGCCAATGGTGCTG